ACACTGGCGAAAATAAACAGCTATGAAAGAAAAAATCTTTGAATACAGCTCAACAAAATTCCAAAATGGATATCTATGTGTTGAAATATTCAAATGAAAAATGCTACGACAAATTCAACGCAAGATGCATTTAATTTATAGATAGATAAATAGTTATGAAAGTTATAAGTACTTTATTGTCCACACCAAGGACAAATTAAGGTAAACCTGATGTAATTGTTTTATTGTGAAAACTACCATGTACTACCGCATTAGTCACGAGGAAATCTTGCTATAATTATTACCTGATTTGTATCAGGTTATAGTAATTCCAATGTCTATATTTGTTCAGCACTTTGAAAACCATAATAAAATATTTATGGAAGTTTGTGATTAAAATAAATTAGTATACAAGACAATAAAAAATTCCTTTAAATTGCGATAAGTAAAATTTAAGAAAATGTCTTAACTCCTAATTTTACTTACTTGAAACGAAACTAATATTCACCTGGTAGGAAACTGAAAAATGTATGATTCAATAGAAAAATGTACCTATCTAGAGTTTTCTTGATATTCTCCTTTGTTCTGTTTTATCAATATTTGAATGATAAATTTGTCTGTAGGTATGTAAATTAATAATTAAATTAAAATTAATATAAGATTAAGTAACGTTATATATACAGGGTGTCTCACATTTAAATAGCAGGACTTCAGCAATCAGTAGACGACCTCATTATGAGTCTAAAAGTTGCTATATATATGAGTCCTAAAACGCTTCGTTTCTGAGATACAGGGCGTTCAATTTTATTTTTGTTTTATTTATTTATTTTTTAACTAAATAACCGCTGACAAAAAAAATCATCATGTTGCGGCGAAAGACTTAGTATTTGAGGGCAAATAATTTGACACAGAAAATCATCGCATATTAGTTCCAGTGGTGGAGATAGAGGGGTCTCTATGCATATTTTTATAAAAAAAAGTATAGCCGATTTGATATTTTGCAAATGTTTTCGAAAAATATGAAAGAGCATTCAATTTTACCCAGAAAAGGCCCTCTTGTCCAAAGTCGATAGGAGGTGGCGTTTTCAAGAAAAACCGAAAATACTGTTTAGAAGTCAAATTAAGAAAAACCGAAAATACTGTTTAGAAATCAAATCAGACTTGAAATGTCATTCTAATATTGACATTTGCGCTTATTTTATTATAGTTTCTAATTGTGTGTAGAGTATTAAAAAAAATTGCAACAAATTCAAAATGCCGTTTAAGTTTACGAACCAAGAATACGCAGATATTCACTTCATATACGGGTTTGCCAATGGGAACTCGGCAGAAGCTGCTAGGGAATATCGGAGACGATTTCCTAATAGAAGACAGCCGCATCCACACGTTTTTATTAATGTTCATCAACGTTTCGCTAATGACGGATTGAATCTGGTCCATAGGGATCGCAACATAATTAACGTTAATATTGGCAGAAATAGGAGGAATCAGCGAATCTTGCACGAATTTGACAGAGATCCCACGACGAGTACCAGAAAAATTTCCAGGATTATTGGTGTTTCCAGGTGCACTATTTCTAGAACATTAAGACGAGATCATAGACATCCCTACCACTTACAACCTGTTCAGGGTTTACGTCCGGGTGACGAGGAACATAGAATAGCTTTTTCTCGGTGGATTCTTAACTCAATTGAAAACGACGGAAATTTTTTATCACACATATTATGGACCGACGAGTCATGTTTTACTCGTCGAGGTGTGACAAATTTACACAATCAGCATGAGTGGGCACATGAAAACCCGCATGCAATCAGACCACGAAATTTTCAGCACGAATTTAGTGTTAATATTTGGCTCGGCGTTTATAACAATTGTCTTTTCGGCCCTTACATCTTACCTCAACGACTGAATTCTGCGAATTTCTTAGAGTTCTTAGAGACCGAGAGTGCCAACATGTGGGAGGAAATTCCTCTGAATTTAAGAATGCGAGCATGGTTTCAACTTGATGGCTGTCCAGCTCATTTTGGCCGAAATGTCAGGAACTGGTTGAACACCCACTTTCCCGAAAAATGGATTGGCCGCGGGGGTATCGTTGCATGGCCTCCCCGATCCCCTGATCTGACACCCCTAGATTTTTTCCTCTGGGGTTTTATTAAAGAGAGAGTTTATACCACTACTGTGGACACAAGGGATGAACTTATTCGTCGGATTCGGAACGCATGCAGTGAAATCAGAGACAATAACTTAATTCAAATGAGACGTTCTATTCAGCGTCGGTGTCAGTTATGTATCGAAGAAAATGGTTTACATTTCGAACATTTGCTTTGATGTAATATGGTTTTCGTTATTTATTTTTGTATTTATTTTCATTTAATTAATTAAAAACAATTTTAACCGAATTTTTGAACTACATATTTAATTTAGTTGTAACACAATGTTTAAAAATTATTATTTGACTTCTAAACAGTATTTTCGGTTTTTCTTGAAAACGCCACCTCCTATCGACTTTGGACAAGAGGGCCTTTTCTGGGTAAAATTGAATGCTCTTTCATATTTTTCGAAAACATTTGCAAAATATCAAATCGGCTATACTTTTTTTTATAAAAATATGCATAGAGACCCCTCTATCTCCACCACTGGAACTAATATGCGATGATTTTCTGTGTCAAATTATTTGCCCTCAAATACTAAGTCTTTCGCCGCAACATGATGATTTTTTTTGTCAGCGGTTATTTAGTTAAAAAATAAATAAATAAAACAAAAATAAAATTGATCCCCCTGTATCTCAGAAACGAAGCGTTTTAGGACCCATATATATAGGAACTTTTAGACTCAAAATGAGGTCTTCTACTGATTCCTGAAGTCCTGATATTTAAATGTGAGACACCCTGTATATATTTTTTTACATATTGTTTTGTGTTCACTTATCCATATTTTATTCCCTTGACATTGGACTGTACACCCACTTTCACTTTTGAAACTAATAAATTTCTGAAAAATGGAAACCCGTCAGGTGTGGCGTCAAGTGGAGGGGGTGACTGTTTTTAATGAAATATTAGTAATACTGATGAGGCTAATGTCATCTTTCTACCCTTCAATTCAGTTAAATAAAATTAAAGAAATATATAAGTGTGAAGACGTTTCATAATGTTCATCATTTGGGTCCACTCGTCGTCAAAAAGAAATATTGCTAAATGTTATGAAAATGAAGAATATTCACTTTGAACTTAAATGCTACTTAGATGACCAAATCTTAGTCTTTTGATTAAAGTAAGAGCACAGTTAGTAATGGGTATTCCCTCCTCGAGCCGTAGTTATTGCATGCATCCTTCTAGGCACACTACCAATAAGAGTTTGAATGTACTCTTGAGGGATCGCATTCCATTCATATTGTGCTGCAAATCTCTATTCATATTGTACTGCAAATATCTATTGTGCTGCAAATCTCTATTGTACTTGGAACTTCTTCTTCGTATTCGTCGTTTTAGCTCATCTCACATGTGCTCTATAGGGTTTAAGTCTGGACTATATGGTGGCCAATCTAATGCATCTGGACTGCTTCGAGGTAATTAGACACAATGCAATGCGGTCGAGCGTTATTGTGCATTAATACGAATCTTTCATATCCAATATGGCCAATATATGGTAAAACATGATCTTGAAGTATATTTTCGATATTCTTCTCAGCAGTCAATCGTCCAATCACTTCCACGAGGTCGGTCGTCCCTCCCAACTAATGCCTTCCCAAAGAATTATGCCGCCACCTCCTAAACTAACGCTACGTATGAGATTGCAGCTGGCGTACCGTTCTCCAACTCTTCTGTAGATGTGGTTTCGTCCATCTGGTTTCCATAATTAAATTCTAGTCTCATCTGTAAACAGTTTTCTCGCTGCTCGATATTCCACTAAACGTGTGTTTTGGCAAATTGTAATCGACACGTTTTGTGATTTTGGAGAAGACGGGAAAGTATAGCAGTCTGTCGCTTTTAATCTTCTCTCGACTGTTTTCAAACTAACATTAATTCACCTTACATGTAGTAACTCATTTTTGAGATGGGTGGATGTCTGTAGTAAATCGCAGATCTAGTAGATAGAGACATACTGTATAGCAGGTACCTAGTTAAGTTAAATCAAGGGCTAGAAACAGGCGATGGTATAGTTCGCTGAGAAAGAAGCCGTTCCCACGGACTTGGATGAAAGACGCGGCATCGTAAAGTAGTTCGGTGTGATTTAAAATAAACAAATCTCCAAAGTTACGGAATCTCGCCGGATATGAAGGTGCTAAATTTTATCTCTAAGACGACTCCTTTCGAAAACTGTCATTTCAACAACTTTTGGAAAGATAACAGTTCCTGAGAACTTTCGGGCCTTGGGGAAAAAGCTACGGTTGCAGAAATGAGCCGTTACGCCTTTTTAGTAATGGTCGACGGTATAGTTTACACCCTCTTTTTATGCTAACTAGTGCTTTGCTTACTAATTCCATGGCATTCATTATTTGATATTAACTATAATTTTAGGCAGCGTAGAATAGTGTTTATTAACTCAGAAATTTTACTGTCAGAGTAGTACATTTTAATGATTTTAAAGAATGTCCTACAAACCTCTTGCAGCCTTCTACAGACTGTAGCTAACTAGGCCATTTTAATATAAAATACACTTGATTTTGACATTATGACCTTAAAATATTACTGTAATATCCTCTAAAACAGCTAACTATAGACCATTTGCATTTCCTAAACAATTCCTATTGTTTGTAAAACTATGTGGAATATTTGTAGAATGTTGTCTTAATTTCAAAGGCCTTTGAAGAGTAACAATAGTATTTGGTGAAGATAGGAACTATTTTATATGGTAACATATTTATTTATTTTTTTAATTCTACATTAATATTCCAAGAGCAAAAATATACTTCTGATTCGAATCGATATATCCAATTGTTTTCAAGAAACTTACTTGAATAAATGTTTTAAAGAATTTGAAATGTATATCAGTATTTATTTAAATATTATGATTAAACTTACCGGTATGTGTCTTCATAAAGTTATTATATCCCTCCATGAAACTAGTTATTTCCGACATTCCCGAGTTTATTCTGAAATGTAAAAAAATATGTTACAGATTTAATGTAAAAAGAATGGCAAAAATCGTTTTGTGTTACTTATTAAATCATAACCTAGTTGCTATAAATGAAGTTTTTAGTTTCTTATGTTGAATACTACCAAAATAAAGCTAAGGGATTGAGAATCCGCTCCTTAATTACGGGAAAGAAGTTTACTGAGGTTGAAAATACAAATTTTTGGGATTATTTTGTTTGATAATTAGAAGCAACATGTACATTAACGTTCTTGTATGCAGGATGTTAATTAAGTATGTTAACAAACTTTAAGGGGTGATTCTTTGAGTGATGCCGAATGATGAAACTAAGATTAATGATTTGTCTAAGATCCACCGAATTCGGTTGTAAATACGTGTAATAGCGGTGTTTCCGAGAAAAATGATATCTTTCGTTTTATTCGAAAACGAACCATTTTCAATTGCATTGTTAGCAAAAATTCCTTTGAATTTTTTCGAGAAATGTGTAGTTCTAGAGTCATTTTATATTTTGTGTAGTGCTGGGTAACGTGAATGACATTTTAAAAGTAATAAAACGAAAATGGTGTCTTGGATTAAAATGAAACATATCTCGGGAGATCGCGATGCGATAGAGACGAACTTCCTCTTCCATAGCATTTATTTTTTAACTACTAAAACAACTATTTAAAGGAGAGCGCGAGCAGGATTGTGTGCAATTGCCAAGTGACACTGATTTTGTCAAAGACCGCGTTAAAAGTATCAAGTGGACGAATGTCAACGCTACGACGATCAGTAACGTTAATGTCGACTAAATCAAATTTCAGTACCTCGAACTTTTCCAATGAGAAATCTCTACGTCTAAAGCCAGTCATTCATTCTGCGTATAGCGCACGTCATCGTAGCTATTCTAAAACTTGAATGAAGAACTAGGTCTACTCGTTAAAAATAGTACAATCACTAGATTTTTTCGAATAAGTAGGTGCTGTAATTATTGCATATCTATTTGACGGTAAGATTCGACTGTGCGCAATCTTCTCAACTGGTTTTAAAAATGCTTTGTTCCCGGATATCGGGGAAATGATGTCAAAGTTCAATAGTTAATAAAGTTTTCAGTTAATTCGACTCCTCTGATGAATATCATCAATTACTTCTGGTTCAAGAAAGATAACTGCATACACCAATCAACTAATCGACGAGTATAACTGTTTCACCTTAAATTCATTACAGTTCACCACACCATTGAAACTTGACTGTGTGGAATCGCACAGAACATGACTACCGTCTCCATCAGGTCCATAGCCTCCAATGATTTCGGCTTCATATTGGGAAATCTGAGTTACACTCCCTCTATTAAGTATCTGAGATTATGTTTACAAACAAGGGTATCAGTGACCCAACACGAATCAGAGCAATATAGGATCTTTAACGACTATCGAATCAGAAGGATGTAATTGCTGTACTAGGAATGGTCAATTACCACAACTAATTTGTCAACTACAAGTACAGTTATAAAAACTCTTAGTGAAGGACAACACAATCTCTGATTATCAAGAATGATCTCAAATCTTCAATCTTAATCCTCGTGAAAAATTCATCGTCTCAGCACTGGCATTATCGTTCTACAACGATACATGTATGAAAATAAAAAAAAACATTTTTCACATAAGCAAGATAATGACCAAAGCTCAAGTTACTGCAATGGAATAATTTCATTAGTTCACAGGAAGAATCTCATTCTTCAGATTGGTCTTCGACCATTATTGGCATTGTTTGATACTTTTAACATCAAATGTCTATACTTGGGTCATCCTGGCATTCGCTGAATAAAACTTGGCTAGATATTATTTGTTCTGGCCTGGAATGTCTGACGATATCCAACGAATGATGCAATCTATTCTTCTCAACTACAACCAAGAAGAAACTTCTTTACACTCATCTGGAGAAAAAGAGATCATGGACTCCATCCATATGGACTTTGGTAAACGTACGAAGGGAAAAGTTTTTTAGTGCACCTGACCATAGCGCAAGCTACAGTTATCTCATTAGAAGTCTGCTTCGACGTTTCGGTGCACCTGATGATTATTTTGTATTACGGAGTAAAGTTTATCAAGACATAAATTGAATGGATTGTGTTCTGAGTTCAAAATCGTTCACCTTTACGTATGCCTCAATCAAATAGTCTCACAGAAGGGATGGTTCAAATAATCCAGAAGGTAGCAGATTCAGATTTAGACAACTGTACCCTTTATAGAAGTATTTTTCGAAATTCGAAATTTTCCTCACATTTTCAAATTTATATCAACTTCTGCAAGTAGCCTTACGCCTCGACATACTCAGGTGAAGGAAAATAATGTTCACCACGTGCTCGTTATCGTTATTTTGAGAGAAGAAATGAATCTATGGCTATTTGGGCAAAACGAGGGCCTAATTTCGAGTTGGACATAATACGTAAAATCAGGACCTTAATGTACATTTCCGCCATTGAAGTAAACATCCAGTTCCCATGTCTTTACCTTCAATAGAGAAAATGTCTGCCCCATAATCAGCTAAAACCATCAGTAGAAGAGCATCTGAAACAGTTGCCGGTGTAGGTCATATGAAAGCATAAGCATTGATTAGCAATGATCATTGACATATAACATACGTCTTGCGTAATTATGAAAAAGGGAGTTGCAAAGTTGTTTTTTAAAAAGTTCATCCCGAAATCTATAAAATGCCCAATATCAATATCAATAAAATTACCAAAGTACTGACATTATTAATAAAACTGTGGAAACGTTAAATGTTACAAAATTGGTACGTTTTCTATTTGAACTGCCTACTTTACCATTATATAAATATTTGACAGAAACTTGTTCGCATGATCGCTAATACTAATAGCACGTTCCGTTTTGTGCTGCTTTCATAACGAACCGCTACAACGTAGGAAAAATATTGACACTTTCGATCACACATTTCAGACGCAATTACAATCTGGTTGCAATTCTGCCCATTTCATAAAAAAGTCGAATAAAGCTGGTTACTACTTATGAGCAACGTTACACTCTAATTCGTATTGACTGGATAATGACTGGAAAGTTAATCTTCTTATAAAATCTATTGTTTTCGTAGCAGTAATTGAGATAATCTGTAGAAAACTAGAAAGTATGGTTTGAGTTGCAGTTATATCTAAGATATAAGCTATATTTGGAAATTTCCATTTTGAAACTTGATGTCGTGATTGTAATAGATGATGTTTCCAAAATTGAAAGTGGATTAAATTAATGCATTCACATAGTCTTTCATACAAGGTCGCTGATATGTATAGAAATGGTCGATTATCTTCTAAAGCAAGATAACGATTGAAAAATCGTAAAACACAAACGTCTTAGGTCTCTTTTCTTAAATCTATTATAACAATGAACAATTAAGTACCTATACAGGATCAGTCAAAAAGTCATGACAAAACAAAGTTGCTTTTTCTTTAATAGAACACCCTGTATATTATTACATATTTGTTATGTTATTCATTCATGACACATACTGTTCATTAAAACTGTAATTAACTTTTAAGCGTTCGATCTATAGTTTTTACTTCCTTGAAACTCGTTAATTGTAATATGATATTCCAAGAAAAAATATTGCTTAGTCAGTTTTTTCAGTAAGCTGACAATTAATCCAGAAAACTTTTATTTGTGTATTATTTTCATAATTATTTATAAATTGTAAGATATGACATATCCGTACATTAAATTATAAACAAATTAGTTCGTAGTAAATGAGTGACCTTTAGATTTTACTATCGCTGAAAGATAAAGTGCAACAGTTTATGGCTACTTACTTTCGTAGATAACACGCAGGTAGATTAAAAAAGGCAATATGTGAAATATACTTATTTTCCTTAAGTTAGATACCTACCTACGTTTATTTTGACACAAACATTATAGTTTCTGTAAATAACATTTGAAAGCCTGAAAAGGGACTTTTTTAATCTTTACAAACCACGAAAATGTCATTACAGAAATTTTCTAAAGAAACTCAATTTAATAATTTAATTTCTACTTTAAGTATCTGATAGAAACATCAAAAACCTGCTCAAATGCGATCTGGAGTAATTATGTCGTATGAATAATACAGGGTGATTTAGTCATGTTATTAATCTTAAGGAAAAATTGGGAGAAATGAGTAGAATACGTTGAAAAAAAATTTTCTAATCATTATTTAACCCCCTTTTCGAACCGCTCCTGACCGCTGACCTACAAAGGTTTATCGGGAGTAAATCTTAACCCACTGCATTCGGTCACTAACCTAGCTTTTACTGTGTGTTTAACGACAGAAACAAACCTTTTTACCTACACACATGAATTAATAAGATATTTTTTTTACACTTTAAATATTAAAAAGTATTATCTATTTATTAATAAAAACAAATGTATAAGGATAATAACTGCCTTCTAATAACAGGCTATTTAGTATTTTTTAATATTGTTAACGTTTTCACTATGTTTTATAGTTGAAGAGTTTTTAGTACCATGTTTAATTAATTATTCAGTTTGTAGTACGTATACCTTATTGTGATATATTGACGATTATTTAAACGAGACAGCAAATGGAATTTACATTCTTTGTTTCTCATTTTTACATTTGCCTATTTTTAATCAAATTACTTAAATTTTTAAACATTTATAACGCATTTCTTTGTGTTGTAAATACAAATTTCTATGGTACGTACTTTTAATCCGCCAAAATGGATCCGGCATTTTGGATTTAAAAATTTTCGAATTAAAAGCTTATATTCATGATTGGCGACTTTGAAAACTAACGAGTAACAAGTTCTAGCCATAATCTTCAAATTTTGAACGCTTTTCCGATTTTTGCATCCGCCATATTGGATTCGTCATCATTTATTCGGTAATTTTCGGATCCAGACTTCCGATTTGTCATCAGCTACCCCAAATACACGCGGTAACCAAATTCCGGCAAAAATTTTGAATAGAAAAATGTGTGACTTAAAGAGGTCAGTGGGTTCCGGAGTTTGTA